GTGCCTCCTATTTCATTTCGTTGCCATTTTCATTATAATACAGTGTGGCAAAACCACCCTCCAGTTTTCTCTTCTTTTGTGAGTGAAACAAAAGAATCTTACTGTATTAAAAGACTGGTGCTGTCTTATTCAGAAAGAAAAAGCTCTAGAATTTGAGCCAAGATTGTTTCTGTAATTCTGGGCACGTATTTTCTCATTTCTTTTATAAACACGGGGCTAAAGTGTGTGTATTGAAGCAGGTCATAGTGAAATATTGGACTTTCTGTATAGTATCTAGCTTAAAAGTTACTGTAGTCAAGAAAGTCAGTAGGTGGTACGACACCCATAAAATAAAACAAGAGCTGAAATCACGTCGTACAGTGGAACTAGACTTACCTCTATCTCTACTGCGAGGAGTTTTTCTTCGATGAATGGCATGCATTCCATCAAAGTGACAACAATCAATGCTCTGTTGGCCACAAATACGTCCATGATTTCCTGTAAGAATAGGAATTGAGCATCACGACCCGAGTTTCATAGTGACGTGCAAGAATCAGAATACATCATCAGAGATCACTGTTTCATAGTATCAATCATTAGAAATGTGCGTATTACTATAATTTGCAGAAGTTACTGAGACCAACATTCAATCCTTTAGATTAAAAGGGATCATAACAGGGCTTGCAATTAATCTAATGCCCCTGATATCCCGTAAGTGGCGCATGGCTTTAGCACATAGGTACAACACGGAAAGAATTAGGCCGCCAGGCAGGCTCAATGCAGTATAAAATCAGCAATGCGACTGGCTTAAGCCAATTCAGAGCAAAGTTTCGGGCAACAACTCAATTTTCACTACAATTTTCAGCAAAACATTGTTAAACTAAACAAAAATATATAGCAGCAGTGTGCTTTTCAATGAAGAAAGCTGCCCATATCTTTTCAAGGGGGGAACTCGAGCAAATGCGCCTCAGTGGGGGGGGGGGGGGGCGATATCGCGTGAATGCTGTGTAATTGAGTATGATTTAGGACTACTTAATTGTTATTTCGTCTGTTATTTTTATTTACTGAATGAAGGAGAAGCGTTTTTTTCAACAAGTGGTGGGACGCTGATGAGCGATCCAGTGCCCATAGAGTTCCCTAAAGTTAACTGGAGGTGACTCTGGCACTGCAGTCATTCAGCGAGCATGGGAATGTTTGGTATTACACAGGTTTGCCTAGTCTTCGTACTTGCAAGTGTCAAACTGCACTTTTGGCTTCGTTTATTGCTGTGTTTCGGTTTTGTTTCGAAGGAAAGAACGAACCCCCTTGAGCTACGTGACCTGATTTGAAATGGTAAGCCAAAATATTAGGAAGGTGAAACGCAATTTTTGCTAATTTTTGTTTTGTGACAAAACAGCTTGAAGCCACGCGAACCCAAACGAACCCAGAAGTAGGAAGATTAGACAAATCCATGTACTACCCATCATTCCTGTGTGTTCAAGCGCCGTGCGCTGTAGCTTCCATAGACACTTGTGCCAGAGTTCCATCTGAGTGTATTTATAGGAAACTTTATGCGAGTGCCTTCATATACGGGGTGGCCAGTGAACAGCTCTGTAGCGCGAGGATGTGTCACGAGACTCGAGACACAAGCATGCGCAGTGAGGTTGCCGACGCCGAGGCCGGATTTGTGAGTAAGTGCGACTGTAAAATGCTTCATATTAAAAAACAATATTACCTGCCATCGTGCTCAGGATTATCCCAGAGGCTAAAATTATCTTGCTAATCTTGATTAGCTAGTGGAGAACCTAAAGCTTTCTTAGTTCAGTAACATCGGTCTTTCTTAAATATAAAACACTTTCCCGATACATTTCCTATTTGTGCACTACTGAACAAAGCTTTATTGTACGGTATTGCTGTGCGTAAGGCATTAGCTCAAGCCAAACGTTCATAAGTTTGAAGGATTAAACCTTCAGAAACAACCCATCAAAGTGGTTAAAACTACTAACTTACCACTTCTCGCCTAGTATTGTGAGACCCACTGGTACATGATCAACTTTTCTTGTCTTTGCAACCATTGGATGGTCGATGAGACGACAGAGTCGTTTATGCTGATGTGCTGCCTCGCTTTGCACAATGTTCGCGCGACAAGCGCCGTCAGTCTTTAGTTGTGGCAGAAAATCAAGTAAGAACAAATGATACTATAGTACACCAAAAAGCAAACACATACACCACTTGCGGATTCAAAAGGGAAACATTTGGTGGGCCTTAGTATTACATGTGATTTTGTTTCCAGTTTCTACAGTTCATATCGGTGAAATTTCGATGAAAACTTACATTTTAAACAACGTAATATTTAACAGGCAGATTCGCAATTGCACGTGTGGTTATCACAAGAAGAGGCGGCAAAATTTATTGATGAGAGAGTGATTTTTATTGGGAGCTACTCAGATTAATTGTTCTTACCAGTCATATTGAAACTGATATCACAGTTAAACCATGAGGACAAACCAATGAATGCGACAGCAACAAATTGGGATGTCATAAGAGTGAAGAATCTTCTGGATGCAATCCCACGTAAATCTATGAAACACTGTCGTAAAGGAAACAGGCCGTTTCAGGGAGCGGAGTGTTTTCTGTGCTGTCTGTTTCGATCTCACGCAAATCTGCAAAACTCTATGGCGTAAGGAGAACCGATATTTCAGGAAGCGAAGTGTTTTTTTGCTGTTGTACGTTGTTTAAACATGAAGTACGGGGGCATAGGATCCGTATGCTGACACCTGTCGAGATGGCGTGCACTTCGCGACTACGCCGTTATGATCAAAGTAAGTGCTGATAGCACAGTCCGTACAAGGGTGTACGGGTCCTTGCATACCTGGTCTATGTCGAGATAGTGAATGTGCTAGTGCCCCTGTTATCAAAGTTCGCTGTAGCTGAAGTAAGCAGTGTGAGCACGTATGAGGTAGCACATGTAAGGAATACATGTGTATATACTTTTGTATACTCTTGTATATAAGAGTATACAAAGGTATAAAAGAGGGTATAGGAGATATGTAGCTCGTTAAAGGGCACATGAGCTATCTGCTGAGGTCAGTCAAGACAGGACGGCGCCAGCGCTCGCTACCACGCCCTTGTGGTCAAAGTTCACATTTACTGAAGTAAGTGGTGAAAGTGCAGCAGGTACAAGAGTATGCGACCCATTTGCCGATGTCTGTGAGATAGCGCGCTTATTTTTATGGTGACAATTTGCAGTCTTGAGCGAATTCTAAAACAAATTAATTTTGGGAGGAGCCCTTCCTTGTTGTGCCAACCACTATCGATGCCTTAGTTTTACACGTCTAGGTCTTCCTAAGCTCAGACAGCCTGTTTGTGGGAGGTTTGACGCGCAAACTCTGACGTGTGAGCGTTAATGCGACTGAAAGTTTACAAGTATGGGTTGGTGATGGCACTGTCTCACATATCTCCACTGCCGTTTTGGCTGCCTTCTTGTAGTGGGCTCGTCACTGTGCAACAATTGTGTGTGTGTGTCATAACTTTTGTGTGTGGAATAAACTTTTGACTCAGTGCACTCATTAATGTTTGGTACAAGCCAAGTCCTACAACACAGAGAATGTGGATGCATTGCTTTTCTCTCTGTCAGAAAAAAAAAAACCCTCCACTTTCAAGCTTAGGCTGTTTATAGTTTCGTGTTCCCAGTTGAAACTGGCCACATCATCATGCTGCTAGAGAACTCTCGAAATCTGACGGAGAGTTTAGAATATAACGTGATTGTAATACCTCAAAGGTATACAAAAGGCAAATAATAAGTTGAGTGGATTATTGAAATTGTGTTTCATTAATATTGTAATATTGTAATGCTTGCTCATGCCAAATAAATGCCTATTCTAAAGAAAGTCACGTTTGATAACCTGGACACCATTAGCGCAATCCAAAGTGCGCGCCTGGGAGAATGGCCTTCTGACGTAGCCATGCCGTCTCTTCACAAGCTCAGTAGCTGGCGCTGGGGGCAACGGAGCAACGGGCTTTAACGGAGCAAATCCCATTGAAAACAGAACCTGTGTCATTGATTCATTGATTGATATGTAGGGTTTGACGTTACAAAATCACTATATGATTATGAGAGATGCCGTAGTGGAGGGCTCAGAACCTGTGTCATTCTGAGTGACATCAACAAGATTTTTTCGTTGTTGCACGATTCAAATAGAAATGCACTAGCTGCATGTTATACGATCTTTAATGCACTGGAATGTTCTTTGTCACAGGAAGTTGATGTAGTTATGATTAATAGCACTGAGCTAGCCCATACTGTGTCATTGGGCATAGCTCTAGAATGCGCCACAGGTGGTACAAATGACATCTTACATTTACCCTAAATTTTTGATTGCTTGACGTCTTAGACATTCTCAAGCATCAACCTTTCACTATGAAAAGTTGATGTTTCTCTTTAGTGTTTCTTTATTGTTAAAAGAATGAAGAGACAGAGACTGCAGAGCTCACCGAATGCTCTCTGAGGTCCTGTTCGCAGACTCCGAGAAAAAGCCGGTCTCGTTCCAAAAATATAGTTGCTGTTGATATCCTGTGTGAGAAAATGGACGCAAATACATTCCACAAGTCTTCTCCTGCATCGACCTGACATAAGTACCGCATACTTTTTTACTCGGGTTATTAAGGAATCATATTCCCTTCACGAATTTAGACATTTCGGATATCAATTACTGGATGCCTTTGAGAAAAATTTGATTCATGCCATTAAAACTTTTGTGGAGTTGCAATTTCGTTTCTCTGATATCCCTCAATATTTGTTTATTTTATCAGTTTTGTTTTTGCGTTTACGTTTTCTTTATGAGGAGATGAGACTTTGTGAAAACTTTTATGGCACCAGATTTGGTTATATCACTTTCAGGAGCTTGCTTTCCGTGTTGAATAAAAGTGTGCCCTTCTCTCTACTCAATGTAGGTATAGGAACGTGCCTCTCCTAATCGGGCCGAACAGTCCAGAAAATCTCAAGTTACTTACATGTTGATAAAAGCTGAATGCAAGCTCACCATCTCTCAGGTATCGACGACCTCTCTCCTCCAGGACAGGATCACTCATATTTTTGCGCCTGAGGTATTCGAGAGCGTGCAGTGTTTGCGCCATGAGCGTATCAATCTCTTCGCTGCTTCCGGTCGGCCTCCTCATGAGGACCTCGATCACATCTAGTGTCTCTACGGCCGATGGTCCCAGTTGGTTTCCTAGTTGACAAGGTAATAAAAAATCAGCGATTCACCCGAAAGCAAGAGTAGTGTTTACGAGTTGATGATCTTCGAAGCCATATATTAACTCAACTGTAAGACAGCTTTGACTTCAATCATTTTGATTTATGTTGTATACGTTGCCTACTATTTTGCGTAAAAAAGTGTATATGAGTTGCTGGAAAGTTATATTGCATCAAACGTGGACAACTCAACCTAGCGACTGCGCCATTTGATCTGGCCTGAAAATCGAATGCTATTTGTTTAACATAACTGTACGTGATATAACCACGTGCTAGCAGTTCAAAAACAGCAAATGCACAGCCGTAGTTTATGAAGCGGAAAGCTTTATTGTGTGCATGCGTGTGTGCCCGTATTAGTACTCACTAGCCAAGGTGCATCCTCATACGTACGCACGCACGCATGAGATGCGTGCGTGCGTACGTATGAGGTGATCACACTTTGCAGGTTTGAAACAGTGCTGGGTACAAAATAGAATGAAGCTGTGAATATACTCACCTGTCAAAGATAGCGAACTGCTTCTTGTGCCTGGCACAGCGTCAGATGGTGGGATAAGATTAATTGAGATGGTTTGGTGATTGGTGACCGGATCTACTGAATCTGCACAAGAGATTTGATAGCGAGATGCAGTGTTTACAAAGATTTGGAAAACAACAATAATCATAATATGTGGAATTTGTCATCCCAAAACTACCGTATGATTATGAGAGATTCCATAGTGGAGGGCTCCGGAAATTTTGCCCACCTAGAGTTCCTTAACGTTTACCCAAATCTGAGCACACGGGCCAACAGCATTTTCGCCTTCATCGTAAATGCAGCCGCTGCAGCCGCGATTTGATACCGCAACCTGCAAGTCAGCAGCAGAGTGTCTTAACTACTAGACCATCGTGGCAGGGCGATTTGTAAAACGAGTCATGGTATAACGTTCAGCATGATATTGAAATTTTGGGAAATCTATTATTATCGCGGTAATGGACGCATAATGTACGCTGAATGTAATGGTAATTGTGGCCCTATATTGCTAGATTTTTAATACGCTTTTCTTACACTCATGTGTATGCAATCTTTTCTTTATTTAGCAAAACATGTAGACTTTTTTCTAAACACTTGGTACATTATGTCCCAAGACAAATTCCGAATAATTTCTGTGTAATCTTGTGTGAAAAGGCCTTCATGCTTTTTTGAGTGGGAAGAATAGCATGGAGCAAGCAAATGCAGATGTTGGGAACACTTCCGTAATCTGTCCACACGAAGGGACCTTTTCTTTTTTTAACGTAATAAACAGGAAGCACCAAACACTTACAGATTCTCTCTCTTGCAAAAGCATAGAATGAGAACATAATTCCGTCTGAAATATTCTAATACATAAGACGCATTATTTTTATTCTAAATGCTTTCTAGAATACATTGGTCATTGTAAGTAAAAAGGTTCATGTCCCAAAACTGCATCAAGTTGTACTTGAAATTTTCCATGTGTATATATATGAAATCTAACAGATAGTAATGCCAAGGAATGTAAAGGGTAAGTTATTAGACCAATTTCAATGTAAATGTGAAGTAAACAAAAGTGGTTGAAAAGATAACCTGCCGTGAGCAGAAACCTAACCTGCAACCTTCGAATCATAAGTATTAAGAATCATAAGTATGAAGACCATACGGGATTGAACTTTAGATGAGTGGATGAGAGGGTTGGGGAGGGAGGATGTTCCCTCTGCCACCTCGTGCGCACGCCAATGCTTGGAAGCACGAGCAGTCCTGGTCGTTTCGGAAAGGTGAACTCGGCAAGAATCAACACTCTCGATCACACTCCGCCAAGACCCTCACTTACCTACTTCAAAAAGCTGGGTTCTGACCCGCCTTCTGCTGAGCCTGACCCTCGTCCATATATGTGCTCCTCTCATTGGTTAGTCCTTACCGCCGAGCAATCCAATAGCTGGGTTGTGAGGCGCTTTCTGCCGAGCCTCACCCTTGCCCCTACATGCACTCCTATCACTGGTTCGTCCTTCCTGCTGAACCTCATACTCGACCCTCTTGACACGCCTCCCATCTGTTACGTATATCTACCAAGCATCACTTTCAACTCTTTCGGCAAGGTACTGTCTTTTTTCTTTCCACCAGGTGTCTCGCTCTACGATGCAGCCTTGCCCCCTTCCCACTGAGCCTCACTGTCATCACACCACGAGGCCATGTGACCAGCATTACAGCATCCACGCGGGTGCTGAGCCCACTAAGAACAGCTTTGTTGTAAAAAAAAAATCCTACAATAGCTTTCCGTCTCGCTCTGAATGTGGCCGCAGAATTCACACACCGTCGTACACATCCGTCGTAGATCTCTGTGTCGCCCTTCTGCGAGCACTGTCCGGATCAATAGGAACGGCGACGATCTTCTCCACCGGCACTCCTTCTGGCTGTAGAAAAAGAAAGAAAAGGTGCTGTTTACACAGACTATTACAGACTAGATATGCTCTATTTATTAGCATGTCAGCATAATTGATGGATTTATTTGTGAGGTGTAACGTCCCGAAACCACCATATTGCCGCGCGCTTGATCTGCCAGCGCAAAAGAGGCAGACGAAGTGGCAGTTCCCCTCGTGCCATTGTTCTGTTTTTGGCTGCGCTGAGCCGACCGCTCTTCGGACTTTTGTGAGGACGCCTTAAAAACGTCTCCTGTCTCTTTAACGTGACATTTTAATGGTGGAGGTGCTGGGTAACCTCACCTATGCAACAGACTCCTTCTAGCAGCCGGAACGTGACCCAAAACCCAGAGCTTACGCCGGTACACCGTTTCAGTCGGAGGATTCGAGGACTGTCCCCCGAGTTTGTGCCTCACAGTACAAGTACGTCGACTGGTATGGAGAATACTGTTGCTGTCACCGCTTCCCCTACCGCTGGAGCCGCCGCTGCTCCAACCGCTGCACCCGCAGCTGCACCCACTCATTACACGCTACAAAAACCACGTGTTCCGAGTCCCTTTCGTGGTGGCCTCTATGAAGATGTGGAAGATTGGCTGGCTGAGTACGAGTACGTAGCGGATTTCAACGGGTGGGACGAAGTAGCGAAGCTCAAGAATGTGTACTTTAGTCTTCTGGATGGTGCTCGCACATGGTTCCAGAACCGCAAGGGCCTCCTAACGTCGTGGCATGAGTTCTGTCACAGGCTCCGCGAAACGTACTCGAGTCTCGATCGTCGAGAGCGCGCTGAAAGGGCCCTCCAGTCCCGCATGCAGATGCCTAATGAAGGTGTGGCTACATACGTGGAGGATATGGTTCATCTGTTCACTCGCGCCGATCCAACCATGCCGGAAGACAAGAAGCTGCGACATTTGATGCGAGGTGTGAAAGAGCAGCTCTTCGCTGGACTCATTCGTAGTCCGCCTAGAACGGTCGCGGAGTTCCTCACTGAAGCCGTCGCCATGGAAAAGGCGCTGCAGCAGCGGAACCAGTACGATCGGCAAGTGAATGCTACCTATACCACCGGGCTAGGCTCGTTCCCGACCGACGTGGGAGCGCTTCGCGAGCTGATACGTTCGGTTGTTCGCGACGAGCTACAACAGCTGCAACAGCTGAACCAGGCGCAGCAGCAGCCTTCCACGAATTGCATCGCCACCATCATACGTGACGAAGTTCAGCATGCGCTCGGCACACCTCGCCGCGAGACACCAACGCAGGTTGCTGCACCACTTCAGGCGTTCGCAACTTCAAGTGAACCTCTAGGGGTGACCTACGCAGACGTATTGAGACGCACCGTTCCGTCGTCCACGACACCATCCCCAGTGAGTGGTTTCCAGCGCACCACTTATACCGACACGTTCGAACACAACGCACCTGCACCAGTCCCACTACCAGCCGCAACCCCGTACGCCACACTGCAGTCCGCACAGGTGGTCCCTTATTTTGCAGACACTCGACCCGTCATGCGTAAATCCGACATATGGCGCATGCCCGACCGACGACCGCTTTGCTACCACTGCGGTGAAGCGGGTCACCTCTACCGAGACTGCCAGTACCGCCGACTTGGGCTGCAGGGTTTTCCTGCCAATTCACCCCGCCCCCGGTTTGGACAGAGACCACCAGAAATTGAAGATTTTATTGCTCGGCAGAACGTCCCACTCAGGCGTCAGTCGCGCTCACCGTCACCGCGGTCGTCATCTTATTCAGGCAACGGAAATCGAAGGCCGCAAGGACGGTCTCCGAGCCCTCGCCTGGAAAACTAACGCCAGCGACCTTTCGAGGCGAGGCCGCTGATTCTCGACGTGATGAAGACCTCGCCCTCCAATCGACGCGACATCGGACCAACGGAAATTCGACTACGCCGGCGCCTGTATCCCAGCTGAGCGACTTTTCAATGGACATACCTGTGCTGCTCGACGGTCGCAATTTAACTGCCTTAATAGACACTGGTGCTGACTACTCGATTATTAGCGGACAATTGGCACGTACCTTGAAGAAAGTGATAATGCCTTGGACAGGATCGCATGTACGTACAGCTGGCGGACATGTTGTAACGCCGGTTGGTTTGTGCACGTCCAGGCTACAAATACGAGGCTGCACGTTTTTGGTCAGCTCCATCGTGCTACGTGACTGCTCCCGCGAATTAATTCTCGGCCTCGATTTTCTTCGGGAATATGGCGCCGTAATCGACCTACGGCGACGCTGCATTTCCTTTTCGACAGTCAACGCTACGTCAAGGGACTCCAACCGCCGTACAACCGCCCTCCGTGTTTCCGACGACAGTGTCACAATACCACCTCGTGCAAGTATCCTAATTCAGGTGACTTCCGAAGGAACCAGTGACGGTGAAACAGTGGCAGAGTGCAACGTCTCCCTGCTGCTGGCGCTTGGAATTTCTGTGGCACGAGGCATCATTGACATTCGGAACGGTACAGCCGAGGTCATGATTACAAATTTCACCAATGAGCATCGTCACCTTTTCCGGGGCACTGCGGTCGCCTACGCTGAAGCCTTGGAGGACGTCATTGAGTGTTTGCCTGTGAAGACAGTAGCCGCAATGGACAAACCGTAATAGATGTTGACATGAACAGTGCACTGCCAGAAGAGAACCAGAGGGCCTTGCGAGAGCTATTGTTTGAATTCAGGGCGTGCTTTGCTCAGTCGTCTAAAGTGAGTCAGACGCCAATTACACAGCACAGGATAATCACTTACGACGACGCAAGACCTATTCACCAACAGCCATACCGCGTCTCGCCGACAGAACGCGCAGCTATCAAGCAGCAAGTGAAAGAAATGATCGACGACGGCGTTATCCAGCCTTCGAACAGTCCCTGGTCCTCACCGGTCGTTCTGGTTAAGAAGAAGGACGGTACGCTTCGCTTCTGTGTAGATTACAGAAAGCTCAACAACGTCACAAAAAAAGATGTTTATCCGCTGCCGCGTATTGATGACTCGCTTGACCGACTACGACGAGCGAAGTATTTTTCTTCCCTGGATTTAAAGAGTGGCTACTGGCAAATTGAGGTTGATGAGCGCGACCGCGAAAAAACCGCCTTTGTCACGCCGGATGGCCTCTACGAATTTCGGGTGCTACCGTTCGGACTCTGCTCTGCGCCAGCTACCTTCCAACGCATGATGGACACTGTGTTGACTGACTTAAAATGGCAAAGCTGCCTTGTGTACTTGGATGATGTGGTCGTGTTTTCAACCAGCTTCTCCGAACATCTGAAGCGACTACGACAAGTACTTGAGGCGATTCGGACGGCTAACCTTACGTTAAAGCCGCAAAAATGCCATTTCGGTTACGAAGAACTAAAGTTCCTTGGACATGTCGTAAGCGCAGAAGGCGTCCGTCCTGACCCTGAGAAAACCGCCGCTGTCGCAGCCTTCCCGACTCCTGCCGATAAGAAAAGTGTGCGGCGGTTTCTTGGTCTATGCGCGTACTACCGGCGCTTTATAGGCAATTTTTCGAAAATTGCCGAACCATTAACTAGACTCACTAGAGACGATACGCCGTTCGTTTGGAGTGCTGAACAAGAATCAGCATTCACAGAGCTTCGGCTTCGCCTGGCATCACCACCTGTTCTTGGACATTTCGACGAGGAAGCCGAAACAGAAATTCATACCGACGCCAGTAACGTCGGTCTGGGCGCGGTACTCGTCCAACGGCAGGAGGGAATTGAAAAGGTTATCGCCTACGCAAGCCGAACCCTAACACGCCCGGAGTCAAACTACAGTACCACGGAGAAGGAGTGCCTTGCTGTCGTGTGGGCAATTGCTAAGTTTCGACCTTACCTTTACGGCCGTCCATTCAGAGTAGTGACGGATCATCACTCGCTGTGCTGGCTTGCGAACCTCAGAGACCCCTCCGGACGACTGGCAAGGTGGAGCCTACGTCTGCAGGAGTACGACGTCACTATCGTGTACAAGTCCGGTCGTGCACACGAAGATGCGGACACGTTGTCACGCGCGCCAGTTGAGCCTGCCGCTCAGAGCTTCGAAGAGGACTGCCCTTTCCTTGGCTCCGTAAGCGTAACAGACTTGGCTTTACGGCAGCGAGCAGATGCTCAATTGCGACCTATCATTGAACATCTAGAGGGCCGCAACGTATCACTGCCCCAGCATATAACTCGCGGATTGTCATCCTTCTGCTTACGACAGGGCGTGTTGTACAAGAAGAACGCAGCCGCCAGCAACAAAACTTACCTGTTGGTCGTCCCCGCAGAGCTGCGTGAGGAAATTCTATTTGCCTGCCACAACGAGCCTCCATCGGGCCATCTGGGCATCACCCGAACCATCGCTAGGGTACGAAAGTCTTACTACTGGCCGAAACTTGCCGCTTGCGTTAAACAGTACGTTCAAGCCTGCCGCGAATGCCAGCGCCGAAAATCCCCATCTGTTAAGCCTGCGGGATTACTTCACCCTATCGAGCCACCCAGAACACCCTTCGATCAAGTCGGCATGGACCTCCTGGGTCCGTTTCCCTTGTCATCTTCCGGCAACAAGTGGATAATCGTCGCTACAGATTATCTAACCCGCTATGCTGAAACTAAGGCGCTTCCTAAAAGCACGGCTTGTGAAGTTGCTCAGTTTTTCATCGAGAGAATTGTATTACGCCACGGTGCTCCATCCTGTGTCATCACAGACCGAGGAACAGCGTTTACAGCAAGGCTCCTTGAACAAGTTTTTCAGTTAAGTTACTCCACGCATCGCAAGACAACAGCGTATCACCCTCAGACAAATGGACTGACCGAGCGGCTTAACAAAACGATGACTGATATGCTGTCTATGTACATAGACGTACAGCACAAGACGTGGGATGAAATACTGCCTTACGTAACATTCGCGTATAATACCGCTACGCAAGAGACCACACGATTCACTCCGTTTCGTCTTCTATACGGTCGGGACGTTCAGACGATGTTGGACGCAATGCTCCCATGCGACATTGACAACATCGAGAATCTCGACGAAGATGCTGAGTGTTTCGTGCAACGAGCCGAGGAAGCACGTCAACTAGCCCGCGTAAACATCAAGAAACAACAAGGCGTCGATGCACAGCGCTACAACCGCTGCCACAGACAAGTCGATTATAAACCAGGTGACCAGGTGTTGGTTTGGACCCCTGTGCGCTGCAAAGGTCTCTCTGAGAAGCTTCTCAGTCGGTATTTTGGCCCGTACAAAGTGCTACGACAAGTGAGCGACGTCAATTACGAAGTCCTTCCGGACGGAAGCCAACCACCCCGACGCCGACAGCTACGACCCGAGATTGTGCACGTGGTGCGGTTAAAACCGTACCACACACTGTGACAATGTTTTTTTTTTTTTTTACGATACACGCTTCGTTTAGCATCGAGGCGATGCTCTTCAGGGAGGAGGGGCAGTGCCGCGCGCTTGATCTGCCAGCGCAAAAGAGGCAGACGAAGTGGCAGTTCCCCTCGTGCCATTGTTCTGTTTTTGGCTGCGCTGAGCCGACCGCTCTTCGGACTTTTGTGAGGACGCCTTAAAAACGTCTCCTGTCTCTTTAACGTGACAATATGATTATGAGAGACGCCTTAATGGAGGGCTCCGGAAATTTCGACCACCTGGGGTTCTTTAATGTGCACCCATATCTGAGAACACGGGCTTACAACATTTCCACCTCCATCGGAAATGCAGCCGCCGCAGCCGGGTTTTGATCCCGCCACCTTTGGGTCAGCAGCCTACCAGCGCGGCGGGGCAAGCATGTCAGTATACACAAGTGCATGAGCTGTTGAGTCCTGAGGTCCGGTTGTACGCTATACCTACTCTTGGAGGCCCCAGTCAAAATTATGCCCATAAAGAAACGCTTGTTAATTGACACATTAATGATGAGGTATCATTTCCGTGAAGTTCAATCTAATACATTTTTGTTTCTAATTGTTGAAAGCACTGAAATTATAGGAACCAGATCTCTTGTGCGCATCATCGAAAATTAACACAAGTGAGACAAGCAGCCAGGAACCATCCTGGCTATATTAGTCCTGCAGTATAGTCTTTGTTAACAAATGTATGCCAATTTTCATGAACTATCCACGAATCGGAATATTTTCAAAGGGAACAAGCGAAGGCGAGCACGTGAGAGGGAGGCATAAAGTTGATAGGATCGAATAAGCCTAAGCACTTGAGAGAATAAAATGACCGTCAGAAGCAGTGACTTGCGAAACGTGTAAGGAGCCTCTGCCCCGCAGTGGGTGTAGTTAGGCTAATAATGACAACGATATACTGTAGCTCTTACCACCACGTGAAGTTTCTTCTCCACGACGTCGTGCGTGCCGGGGCTGTGGCCACTGCTCTGGTTGCAGTGCGCGTGTACCTTGATAGTGAAGAGACCTTCTCTGAGCGGTACCACGGGAAAGGTGAGGCTCGACGCAGAGCTTGCGCTCACTGAAACAGCTCGCCTTTCGGAGCGTTCACCTTCTTGAGTGCCCGTGCAGACTCCTTCCAGGCCGTAGACGTAAACGTTGCACTATCCGAAAGGAGTAAGTGCATCTGTTATGGCATAACAACGCAACATACGGGACAATGAAACACGCAAAAATACAGCACTGTGTCCATGTTTCATTGTCTCGTATTTTTTAATTTTTATGCCATAATGCTTGTGAACCAACCAGCAAACCTAAGAGTCCAAGTGCACTGGTATTCTTGGTGAAATTGACATCACGCAAACGTAATTTACGTGCCAAACTAGAGTGAGTGCCGACACTAATTCAGCTGTCTTAAACAGCTGAAGCGCAAATAAAGGGTGACCATGGACTACGAGAAGTCCGTGGTTACCCTTTATTTGGGCTTCAGCTATTCAAGACATGGAATACTAATTAGCCTGCTCCCATGCCTTGCTTCAGTACAATTCAGCTGGACTGCAAATGGCAAGCATTTAAGTGGCGACCAGCAGTTAGAAAGAAAGAATAAGCGCTTGATCTTTGAATTTTGCAGTACTAACATTATATTATAATTGTTGGGGTTTTGTGTCCCAAAACCATGATATGATTATGAGAGACGTCGTAGTGTAGGGCTCCAGAAATTTGGAACAGCTGGGATTCTCTAGCATGCACCTAAATTCCATAATAGCGCTGAGATGGAAGTAGCAGGTATAATTTCTATATGCATTGAAAGTGGGTGGGCATATGTAACAAGAGCCACGCGATCGCTTGTCGGCTTGCCTGAGACAACTCGAATGCGAAAGATATCTTTTCTTCTTAGCCGATCCTCTTGATCCCCTTTCCTACCCCGAGAGCTTTCCACACACAACGAGGTTTCGCAGTGCCTCAAGGATTGTCCCACGCACGGGCCAATCTCGGAGGCGCTTTCGGCCAAGCAACTATTTTATATCACGCCATCACGTGTCATATAGTCATATGACATCACAGTGACATGGTGATTTCATAGTGTATAGTCATCACATTAAGGTGACTTTTACATCACTCGTGTTAATACTGACTGTCACTTTTTGGCAACTAGGAAGCATCTCAGGCTTTTGCCTTGAAGGCTCTTAGGTCGGCCAAATGCTCAGAAGCACTTCCTACTGTTATATTATGCTATTTCTATCAGGAATCAAGCCATATAAAATCAATAAAGTGACGTGAAGCACTTGCCCTGATTGTTTCGTTTACGTAGTTGTAGACTGTGGCGAGCACTTCGATCTGCTCCTTCCGCACCACACTGTAAGGCAGCACTACCTGTAGGAAGAACAGCTGGAAAGCGCGTACTTCCCGAGGTTGGGGAATACACACTCCACCTGATGGTGCCACGCTCACTGCCTGCACCGACCACGTGGTGATACTGTGTGGTAGGCTCGTTGCAATATCTGCCACGCCATCCAGCCTGCAAAAAAAAGGGCGAGGGGGGGCTACTGTTGCGCTCAAACAAGCAGGCAAACATTTGATAGACGGAAATAATACCTTGCAGATAGCATTGTAAAGTGGCAAGAGGGTACACCTCACTTGTTTTTGTGAAAGCAAATATATGCACACTATAGATGGGTTTTCACCGCCACAGTCATGTTGCGTATAAATACTAAATTATTAGCATCAACAAGCGATTTTTTTACCCGCAAGTTAAAACGCGTGAGCAGTGGTGATGAACACGACTGTAGCAGATGAAATGAGCTAGTAATGGCCTTCGCACAGAAGGCGCATGCGATAGCATCGCCCAGCGTGCAGTACTTGCCATGCATTGTCCCTCAAGCAGCATGGAAACGCCTCGCCCGCCTTTCGTCGGGAGAACTAGCATGTAGACTTGCCGGTTGAGGGCGAGTGGTCGTGAGTGCTGGGGCGCACGCTATCTCGGCAGACATCAGCGATTGGGTCGTATGGCCTTCCTTACATGCTGTTCTATCTCTGCTTCGTGCAACGATGATAGACTACATGAAAACAGCTTTTCACCCTGGATCGGCTGCATTCCATTACGTCAGAATTTTTAGAGTTATTTGAGACCGTATTCCAAAGAGTTACCTGCTAGACTTGTTTTTTCTTACTAGACTTAGGAGAGAGAGCACAAAGGGCATTAGCATCGGAAGGTTTCCTCCCACCTTAAACTGTTTGCACACAAACTCTGTAAACATAACGGAATTGATGGTTTACACTGCAATGCTTACATGAGGAAACATACAGTTCTTATTTCGTAAAACACTTCGCATAACATTGCAATTTGTTCTTATTGCATTCATAACCTTGCCCTTGCAACGAAAGTGATTTTTATCATTCCTGTACAATTTTGCAAATAATCTATTGTTCCTAAAAATCTTATGCTACTACTACTGCTGTTACTAACCCTGCTGCTGCTGCTGCTGCTATTGCCACTGCATCAAAGGTAAACTTCTTAATGAATGGTGATCTCGAAAATTGATATATCAAGTGCATTTTTATAGCACATTCATTAATGAATAAATCAAAGATAAACTTCCTAATGAATGGTGATCTCGAAAATTGATATAATAAGTGCATTTTTATAGCACATTCATTAATGAATAAATAGTTCTGTATTATAGGGGTCGTGAAACGCTCTCCTTAAAGCGACAATGCAAAACCACCGGCGTCCACACGCACTAACTAGGTGACGCCCTCATAAGTAATGCTTCGCCTATCAAGGAAAACACAACTCTTCGGTACTTGCGAGCATAGAGTTTCCTAAAATTAATTGGAGGGGACTCTGTCGCTGCGATTGTTCAGCGACCATGGGAATGATGGGTAGTACACACATTTGCCTAGTCTTCATACTTGCGGGTGGCGAATCGTACTTGCGGCTTCGTTTATTGCTGTGTTTCAGTTTTGTTTTGAAAGAAAAATTCAACCATTTTGAATTTCGTGACTCGATTTGGAAAGCTAAGTTTAAAAAAATAAGGTGATGAAGCGCAACCGCTGAACATTTGCTGATTTTTGTTTTGTGAGAAAACAGCTTCAAGCCACATGAACACACACTGAGCCAAAAGCAGGCCAGAAGTACGACAATTAGACAAATGCGTGTACTACCCATCATTCCCATGCTCCCTGAAGCACCGTGCATTGCAGCTCCCATAAACATCAGCGCCGAAGTTCCCTCTAGTGTATATTAGAAAACTCTATGCTTACGAGCGCGTGCGACTGGGCATTGGATTGGGACACCCATCAGTGTATTTTCCATACGCAGTCGGCACTAACTGGAACTCTTACGTCATATTAAGCAGCGTTCTTGTGGGATGAGGATTGCGTATGGCAGACGCTTGATGAGCGCCTCTTGCGCGAGCTCGATATGCCGTACAATTCCACGTTCCTCGATAGGCAAAGCACCTATACAGGTCCACTCGGGTCGATGATATAGTTAGCGCATAAGGCTGCCGTTGGTGCCGCATTGTCATTGTAAAGCGATCGTTTTATGACCCCTTTATTTTATTGCCTTCTATATACACAAATGTGACACTATGTATCCCAGACAATTTCATGCTTTGAATTTATGTGTGTTTTGTCACAATTTACCTAAATAAAAGGACACTGAAGGCAATTAAACATTTTCATGTTGAAGTGAAAGATCAATGATTGAGTAGGTTTAAAGCACCAATATTACGCACAAATAAGGGCTTTAGTAGTCAAAAAGTTAAGGCGAAATGTAGGACTTGATCTGCATCACCTGTGGAATATTCTGGTATGCCATCACTATGACGTAGTCGATTAATCACAAGCACTGTATACCCATGACATAAAAAAAAACCCTGCAGTGCATTACAAGAAGTAATAAAATGCAACTTAAGAATTTCAGTTTGCTTCACAGAAGAATAAAAACTTGATGTTATCAAGATGGAAAACTGGGCTAGTTGGTGAGCATTCATCGTGGTTAACAGCGCGAAACACCCGGACAGGAGCGATAGAAGGACACGGTACAGCGCTGACTATCAACTGAAATTTTTTTATTGAAAACACGAGAATATATATATAGACAGAACAGAAGACCTCGTGACCAAACCAGCCCCCTCAATCGATAAAATTATACACGGCGACAAGGCTTTGTCATGTGCACGCAATCTTGCCACAAAATAACACATACTTCAAACTATAAGATTCCAAAGTCGCCAAGAAAACCGGGCATGAGCAGACGAATGAACTTTAGCCACTATCTAACAAAGATAATTCATTACCAAGTAAGGCGATAGACGGCTGGCTAACGCATTGAGACCCTTTCTTATTTATAAAAAATGCCTCCATAATTTCTCTTGAAAGCTTGTCTGGGTGCTTGAAGAGTACTTTTGTTTTTTTCAAAAAGTGGGTGGCATCCACATTCGCGGCAATGCAAAGACAAATGTGAATGCGCAAATCCTTTCAAGGAACTGTGGTGTTCCCTTAGCCGTATATTGACACAACGCCCGGTCTGACCAATGTACTCTCGCCCGCATGAAAATGGGGTTGAGTACACGACATTCTGCATGCACGGGAGAAACTTCATAGTATGTTGATACTACACTGCTGATAAATTCCAGTCTTCCTGCCTTCTATGCGAGTGTTCACTGCCTGGCATAGTCCCTTAAGCTTCGTTCTGCTTGAAAACCCAACGTTTAATCTGAACTTAGATGCTACTTTCTTTAATCTGTGCGAAAAAGAATGAACATATGGAATGTAGACAGAACGGCTAAAATCTTTTTCTTTCACTCGGGAGGACTGCCCCTTGACCTCACGCAGCAGCTTATCGCAAGTCGTAGAAATGACAGAGTGAGGAAAGCCTGCATCACGCAGCCTCTCCACCTGATAGTTAACGCTGTCAAGCATACGATGGGGACAACTCTTATTGAGGGCGGACCTTATAGCGGAAGTGGCTATACCTCGTTTAATCAATTTCGAGTGCCCTGATCTGAAATCAAGAAGAGACTTCTTTGACCTCGGTTGATAGGTCCAACACACATGTTCCGCTTTGAAAGACAGTCTAAGGTCTAAGAACTGCAACTCCTCCTTTTCAGGAACCTCAATAGTAAACCTAGACCTTGTCCCTGTTCATTAAACAACTTTACGACGTCCCCAATCGATCTTTGGAAATTTAGCCTATTGACGAAAACCAAATAGTCATCCACAAAGCGGAAAATTCTCAAAGCTAATTCACCTAGGTTATCATTTATTTTGCGGTCAACGAAACTTAAAAAGATGCTGCTTAGTACTGGCGCTACGCAGGAACCTATGCACACTCCTGCCCTTTGGATAACTGTCCTTCCTTGCCACTGAACGATCGTGGACTTCAAGTAAAACTCCAAAAGCTCTAGGAAGCTAGCAACCGGTATTTTGCAACTTTCGACGAAGCCTAACTCATTCATTTGTCCCTCGATGGTCTGTTGCACGAATTTCAATAACTGTACATGAGGCAGGGAATAATAAAGATCTTCTATGTCTATGCTGAATCCAAAGCAACCGCCAGGGTTATTATTCTGCAGAACTTGAACTACGCAGTTAGAACTGGCGACTTCGAAAGGGTCCTCCAGCTTAAGCTGTGCGAGATTAGTCTGCAAGTACCCTGAAATAACATTTAACCATGACCTTCTTTCCGAGACGATGGTCCTGAAAGGATAGTTCTGCTTATGCGTCTTTACACTGAAGAAGGCCTGCAGAAGGAGCCCTTTTTCTCGCTTGACTTCGTTTGCTACTTTCGTTAATCCAACCTCATTCATCAAAGCCAAAGCACGTGATTTAATCTTAGAGGGATCAACGGAAACTTCGCGAAAATTCTTATCCATTGCTGTGGTTGCTTTTTCCAAATACAAGTTTTCCGGAATAATAACAAAATGTCCTTCTTTGTCAGACTCTAGAATGCGCAAATTACTATCCGCACAGAAATCAATCAGAGGTCCTAACTTTCTCGAACACCTAGAATCCTTCGACGTTGTGTCAATATACGGCTAAGGGAACACCACAGTTCCTTGAAAGGATTTGCGCATTCACATTTGTCTTTGCATTGCCGCGAATGTGGATGCCACCCACTTTTTGAAAAAACAAAAGTACTCTTCAAGCACCCAGACAAGCTTTCAAGAGAAATTATGGAGGCATTTTTTATAAATAAGAAAGGGTCTCAATGCGTTAGCCAGCCGTCTATCGCCTTACTTGGTAATGAATTATCTTTGTTAGATAGTGGCTAAAGTTCATTCGTCTGCTCATGCCCGGTTTTCTTGGCGACTTTGGAATCTTATAGTTTGAAGTATGTGTTATTTTGTGGCAAGATTGCGTGCACATGACAAAGCCTTGTCGCCGTGTATAATTTTATCGATTGAGGGGGCTGGTTTGGTCACGAGGTCTTCTGTTCTGTCTATATATATATTCTCGTGTTTTCAATAAAAATTTCAGTTGATAGTCAGCGCTGTACCGTGTCCTTCTATCGCTCCTGTCCGGGTGTTTCGCGCTGTTAACCACGTTGATGTTATCATTGAGAACAACGCCGCTAGCAAAAAGTTTTTTTTTTTTTGCGAGATTATTCCAGCATGCTGCACGGTTCTGGAGTGCCGTGTAGTCAGTCAAACGGTATGTCACGAGACCCTTCATAGATGGGGCGATTTGAATTTTGCCAACGGTACACAGACCACTAAACAAAAATTTTCTTTCAAAGGGTGTTTTTTTTTTCCAGAAACAAGCCCTTCCAGGTTGTTGGGGCATTATTGCCACCGTCCTCATTGATTTAATGTACCTGCAGTGTTATTACACTCTTGGAACCTAAGGTACTTTTGAAATGTCAGAAGTTCAGAAAAGATGAAAGCTTGAAGTGTTAAAAAATTTTTTAAAAGGTGTGTCACGAGACCCTTCATAGATGGGGCGATTTGAATTTCGCAAACGGTACACAGACCACTAAACAAAAATTTTCTTTCAAAGGGTGTTTTTTTTTCCAGAAACAAGCCCATCGAGGTTGTTGGGACATTATTGCCACCGTCCTCATTGATTTAATGTACCTGCAGTGTTATTACACTTTTGGAACCTAAGGTACTTTTGAAATGTCAGAAGTTCAGAAGAAATGAAAGCTTGAAGTGTTAAAAAAATCTTTCAACACGGGGTGTTGATGGAGTCAATGTTTCAACAAGCAAGCTTGGATTTTTTTTATTTAATGCAGCAATCTGCTTTCTTCACAATGACACAGGGCCTGCACGCTTCTCCTAGCAGAAAAGTCACGAAGCCCTTCTTAATCTCGGAGGCTTTTGTTCTGGCGATAATGGCTGTCCCATTTCAGAGCAGCATATAAAACTTTAAAGACACTACTTAAAGTGCGACGGACGTTTGGAGAAAGCCCATGGCCACTTGACTGCGAAAGCACCCTCCTCTGTACAGTAAGTTCACTAAATAGCCTTGAATCTTTAGTAAAATTTTCCCAGTGAACATTAAACATGTTCGAATGTTTCTAATTCATCAAAATACCCATGTTTTGTTTTCATTGTTAGTATTAGCCGAGTACTTCAATGATTTGAAGGACTCTGGTATTAGTAACAATAAATACCGCCAATTTCAGCTAATCTGTGAATAAATGCAAATGCATCAATGACAATTATGGGGTAAATATGGTGTTCTAGTGGTCGGTCTCATGTCTTTCGGGCTAGCCTTTGATATATAGTCTGTACTAATCATGCACAAGGCAGCACAGACAAGTCTGCTTGCAAAAATGATGGTGACAGGGACACCTGAGGCTGAAGGACTTCTGATCGCCTCAAATGTGTCGTATAACAGAGCAAACAGAGAACACAGACGTACCCGATGACTCGTTCATCGAAAATCCATGTTTCCCGGAAATCCTTACGGATCACAGAGTCTGGAGGGAGATCGTGCGCCTCGTCGTACTCGTCTTCCTCGTCAAAATTCGGCTGTAGACCCAGTGCAGGCGTTAATTTCGGCTTTTGGCCTATTCGACCGTCAATCTCAAGGTAATCTACGTCGGGAACCAGCGAGAAAAAAGGCCTACCTGCACGAACACATATAATACCAATACTAATTACACGATAATATAGCTTTTTGAAGGTATGTCAAAACCTGTCCATTATGCAGATTTTTACATACTGAGCTCCTACTTATTAGTTTAATGGTCCCCAAAGCACCTCCTATAATTGTTTACATTTAAAGTGAATGCACGTATCGAGTTCTAAAAAGCTGCTGGAATAAAAAGTTTTTACTGAAAATATTAAGGGGGGTGACAAAGAAAAAAATATATTTTGCCATCGAGTCGCCTTGAGCAAATGCAGAAAAGTCCATGTCAGTTCATGCCTGCTCAAATCAAACCAAGCCAAATCAAACCTTGTTTACTCCACAAGTTTATGTGTTGCAGAATGCGAGGGCTCGAGAAGAATCTTACCACTTGAGAAGCCTCGAGCTCTCGTCGCACGTGGCATACAGCAAGAATGATCAAGTAATTATGCACCAATTATGCAATATAGTACTTAGACTAATACTACCAAACAATACAATACAACAATGCTTGTTCAGCGCCCGTTTGTGTAAAGGGTGTCACTTGTTCGCAGCAGTCGTAAAGACGGAGACTGCCTTTTGCTGCTGCAGCCATTCTCACCTCTGTTGGGTAGGGGGCTAAGAGGCCTGGAGAAGTCAGGTTCAATGTCACCGAAGGGTAAGAGGCAGCAACTCCAGAAGGCGTCGGCACACAGCTTGCCCTTCTGTCCGCTGATGTAGAGCCGCACTATGACAGCTCGCGCCCTGCAGCTCCGTTGAAACCGGTCTGGCCTTCTTGCCAGCGAACAGCACTCATCCAGGAAGGCCGTGGATGCGGTATCGGACTCTGCGAGGGCAAAAAGTTTACAAGAAGCATCGTTAATGTTATTAGAGTGCTTTCAAACAGGGGCACCAAAGCTCATTGCGTGTCCTCGCTTTGGGTCAAGCAGGAGCTAAGCAGTTTTCAAATAGGGTCTGCATTTATTTCAATACTCTAGGTCCCTCTGCATTGACCGCAAGCCATCTCTACAGTTGGTGACATCATGTTTGTTTGACGCAAGGCTTTCAGAGCAGTCTGTGGGGCTCCCGCTAAATACGAAAAATATCATCCCCAATGCAAAACCAAATCCCTGTTTGGGTTTTGCGTTTGGGACACTGTTGCTAAACTTTAGCGGCTCTCGGCATATACTAAAGTGACCTAGAATAGTGGAAGTGTCCAAAGCCCCGCAGATCTTAATCCAAAAACTTTTAGCTTCCGCTTCACCAAAAGCAAGGGTACGCAATGAGCTTTGGGGCCCCTAACTTACAAGACGCCTATTCAAAAACTCCCTTGAACAGTTGCCCGACAAGTCTCCCCTTCATGCGGACTCGTCGCCATAAAGGACTTGTTGTCATCAGGTGGAAAACAAGCTTTCCAGTGGAAGCCAAATAATTTAATAGTATACGTAGTAATTATTATTGACATATTAGGTCACTGAACTAGGCTCTCGAAATTTCGACCAGCTGTGAATCCTCAACGGGCGGCTAAATTGAGGCACGCAAGCCTATAGCATTTCGCCTGCACCAAAATGCAGCCACCTCAGCCGAGACTTGACCACGTGACCTTCAGCTCAATACAGCAAGTAATTCGGGCGGAGACCTAAGGACTCCGTGAAGAGTTTCTCGCTTTGATACTGAGCTTAAAATTAAGGGTGTTTGCAATACACTACAAATTATTTGTTTGCTTGAAGTTACAGCAAATGTGTCTTAAAGCTACTATTTTAAAACAACCGTATCAAAGCTACAAATTCTTAACCAAAGTAATAAAATGAATAAATAAACGTTTATAGAAATCCAGCAGTTTCATTCTGGTGAGACGAGGGAAGAGGGGATTAACCCCTGTCCCAACCCACCTTTCATCGAGGGTGATAAAAATAATAGAAGTAATTTTTTAGGGGAGTCAATTAGACCAAGAAAAGCAAAGGAGGCATTAGCTCTTATCCCAAACTATGCTGTAGTAACTATGAAGTAAGTGCGAAATGAAGTAAAGTCGACGAAAAATCCCCTTTCCCGTCGGTATGATCCAAATAAATAAAATTCGAAGTAGGAGAGCGCCAACTACGTAACTTTTCTGCGGGTAAGCGAGGTCCCACTTCGCATCAGTAAGGTACGATATATTTTTTTTAATGCGGCATGTGACTGATAACGATAAAGAATAATGGCTTAACGCCTTGGACTTGGTGAGAAGCATCCAGCCACACACGTTTTAAAATCATCATTGTGTGATGACTGGTTGTTGCTTTACTGTTCGCCAAGCAATATTACATTGCTTAACGCGATTTCTTGTCCACATGATGCCTCTACAGGCTCTTTTTGCAAATGAGTTTTGAGCACCAGCATTGCTCTGTAGAAGAAAATTCGACTTCGACACACAGAGCCTGGTTTCAAATTTCATTCGATCTTTCGTATCTTTTACCGATTTTATTTTAAGGGCGAAACTTCTTATGGATGAGGCTTGTTGGAGAAACCCTCTCGTAACGTGGAATATAATCGAAACATATGTGAGACACAAAAAGAGGCTTAACGATAGAGTAATTGCGACAGAACAACATAACGCAACTACAAGCATAAACCCTTCATACTAGTCGGTGACTTTAAAGTAGACAATATAACCTATAGCTTGGTCATTCAACTCTTTATGTCACTAAACTTATATGGGGCCATGCTCGGGTAACATATGTGAGACACAGAAATGGTTTACCAATAAATTAATATTCATTGTAATTGTTGCGAAGGAATATAAAACACCCACAAGTACAAACCCTTTATACCAGTAGGCGAATTCAACGTAGAAATTACGGACCTCGGCAAATACTTGTCACGATTCACTTCGTTTAGGAGTGAGAATATTTTTCATTACTAACGGCTACGCCACCAAAGGCGATGAAAACGGCGATGGCGACGCTGTTCAACGCCGGTACGGTTGCCTAAGAGCCCTGCTCCAAAAACTACGCGGCCATAACCCTGCTCTTTCACAAATGATGGGCAGGTCAGACTGAGTTAAAGTATGGGAAAGACTTAGCACTCGCCTCCCCCCCCCTTTGTGTTTAGAGGGCATTCCTCATTCCCAGATGTGTACGTTTATAATTGCATCCTTCAAACTATGTCAGTCAGAAGGTTCTATGGAGCTGATGTTGACTAGGTATTTGCAAACCAACACAAAAAAAATATTTGTAATATAACTGTTGTGTTCTGGGTTTTCGGTTTCGGTTTTGGATTGACATGTGAGGATGCCAGGGGGCGCCGCTCTGGCATCAAGGAGTTCAAGGCGACTGTAAAATAGACAGTGTGTGTTTGGTTACCATGGAGTGCAGTTTTTGTGCTTTCTTTCGGCGCTTCGCGCCAACCCGTGTGTTCGGGCTGGTCGGTGTCCCCGCCGGCCGCGTACGTCCCCGTCGGCCGTCTTCTTCTTCTTCTTCTGCTTCATCGGGACCAGCCAGCCCCCAACACAGCAATGGCGACGAGGACCTGTAAGAACCCATTTCGTTTTCCGTGTTTGTCTGTTTCGTGCTTCTAACGGACCTACTCTGATAACCCTAGACGCTCTTTGTTCCCAGCAAGGTGGCTCCTGCGTGCTGCGTCGCTTCATTCCTTCTTCATTCAGCTACGCCGCCTCTGCCTTCGTCTTCAAACAGTGTACTGGCGTCATTTTCTTCTCGTCTGCACCTCTCCATTCTTCTTGCTTGAAATGGCGTCTCCTATTCCACCTCCCCTATTTCTTCATTCGCCCGGAGAACCACCACTTCCATGGGCGGACTGGAAATTGGTGTTTCAGGCTTACGCAGACGCGGTCGGGGAGGACGCTGGCAAGCCCGAGCGTCGCAGGGCCCTGCTGCTCAACGCGTTGGGCCCTGCCGGGTTAAAGCTCTTCTATACTTTGGAAGCCACCAATGCAACGCCGACGCCAGCGTCGGGCGATGCCTTCAAGAATGCTGTTGCTCTTTTCGATGAGCATTTTAAAGATGTTTTGTGCGATTATCTCGCGCGCGTGAAATTCCAAGAAAGGCGACAATGGCCTGGTGAGCCAGTCACCGAGTTCATTACTTCTCTTCGAACGCTCGCCGCGTCGTGCGGATTCGGCGCGCTCGATGACGATATGATCCGCCATCAGCTTTTATCCGGGGTAGCCTCGCAAGACGTCCGCTGCCGCATGCTTCAAAATGGCTCCTCGATTTCATTATCCGAAGCCCTCGCGATTGCGCGAGAGGACGAGCTTATTCGCTCCCAGTTGGAGCAATTCGCTCCGCATTCAGTGCAGCAACTTTCTGCTGCGGGGGGCCAAGGCAGTGGCTCTTTGTTTCACGGGACGCGTCAACATGGCGGCCCTTCGTCTCGGCGTGACGGCCAACATGGACGCCCGCCTGCACCGTTCTTCCATGGCGGCCAACATGGCGGCTTCTCTGCGTCATGGGGGCGAGGAAGCCGACAATATGGCGACCCCATTCCGCCAAATTCTGGTTTTCAGGAACAGCACCGAGCTCCTAATTCGCGCTCGCAATTTTCTTCTCCAAGCGCAACCGCGCATTGCTTTCGTTGTGGATTGGCTCGGCATTTAGCCAATTTTGCGCAGTGTCCCGTGAGAAACCGCACTTGTCTTGCATGCGGAAAAAGAGGACATTTTCAGTCCGTATACAATTCCCGTCCAGCAAATCTTCCGGAACCAGTTTCTTCGTCCGCTCCTTCGAGCACTGCACAAACCAATACGGTCACTGTTTTAAATGTGGATTGCCTCCACACTACGTCCGAGCCCAGCATCGTAGTTTCAATGGGCCATGTGCCCTTGTCATTTCTCGTGGACACTGGTGCCTCAGTCTCTTTAATCAGTGCCGCTGACTTTCATAGTCATTTTTCCAACATTCGGCTTTTGCCTTCACACGTCGTTCTACAAACATATTCCAAGGAAACGATTGATAATTTAGGTCATTTTACAGCTCAGGTCTCCTATCGCAGTCGCACTGCTTCCATTACTTTCTATGTAACTGCCAATGGCAGCTCGCTTTTGGGACGTGATGCCATCAGGGCTTTGTCCATCAACATCGACGCTGCGTCTATGACGTGTGCCCAAGTCGACGTCCAAGATGATCTTCCGGCCAACGCGCCTTCTGAATTCCACCACCTGTTCACCCGTGAACGGGGTTGTGTGTGCGGTTTTGTGCATAAGGTGATGCGTCGACCAGGTGTATGCCCTGTGCGTGCCAAGCTGCGCCGCATTCCTCTTCTTCTCCGTGAGCAAGTCTCTGCAGAACTGTTTCGCGTTCAAGCCAGCGGAATCATCAAGCCTGTCTCTGCTTCCGACTGGGTTTCTCCACTGGTCATCATCAAGAAAAAAGATGGATCCCTTCGACTATGCGTCGACTTACGAGAACCGAACAAGGCGATCGTCGTAGACGGGTTTCCACTTCCTCACATTGAAGAACTGCTTCATCAGCTCTCCGGAGCGGTATGTTTTTCCATGCTGGACCTCGCATCCGCTTATCACCAAGTTGAACTTTCTGAGTGCAGTAGAGACTTGACCACACTTTTATCACACGAAGGCTTGTTTCGGTTTCGCCGCGTGTGTTTCGGGCTTGCATCTGCCCCTGCAGTGTTTCAGAAAATGATGTCAATTATTCTTAAAGGTTGTAATGGCGCCCTTTGTTACTTGGATGATATTTTGGTGTGGGGAAGTACTCGCGAAGAGCATGATGCTAACTTGCATACTGTTCTCAACCGCATCAGTGAATGTGGTATGAAACTTAATAACGAGTGCATTTTTTCTGTGAATGAGTTACAATTTCTAGGACATAATGTCAGTTCCCGCGGCTTGAC